CACGAGCAGACCTGCCTCCGCTGAACCGGTTGCCACATCTACTGTCAGTGCTGAGTCAGCGCTTATGGCTCTCCAGGTGCCCCAGCAGCAGCTGGATTATTTCCATGCCGAGTTACTGCCCTTGATAAATGAAACTGCCCCTGGGGTGATGTTTTCCCTGGGAGAGCTTTCTGTATTCAGAGGAAAGAGTTTAAACATTGAGAGGGCAGTGAAAGGCATGTCGGTTTTCCACCCAGGGGAGTTTTGGGAGGCACTCCTGAGCAAAACGCAGCAGCTCAGGAGCTGCTTCATGAGCTTTCAGCTGCAGCAGGTCCCAGGGAGGAGTTCACTTGATGAGGACCAGGCAACGGGGACACACCTCACAACTCAGAGTGTCCCCCAAGCAAGCAAACACAGCAGGGGTTAAGGTGAGCTCCAGATGTGCTCATCCTCCGCGCAGAGCTGAATCGCACCCGGTCGGTCACTCCTTGCCCTCCGAGTCGCATGTCCCCGTCATGAAGCAGGAAGAAGGAAAAAACACGGGTTTTTGTTTTCCCCCTTGTCTTTTTTTCTTTTTAAATGACTACCACAAAAGCTAGCTGAAGAGCTTAGGAGCAGCTGCACTATCAGAAATTTTTTTTACCTCATTAAAAAAATTTATCCTTTTAAAATGAGAGTGGCAGAATGGAGATTAGAGCTTCTAGTGCTTCGCCGGGTGTTACTTAGTACCTGTGGATCATTACATTGATAAAAATATGTACAGACTCACTTTGCAGGTTTAAAAGTGTTTTGTCCTTTTGTTTGCTTAGTTAAATAAAGAGGTTTTGTTTGACCTGTGATTTTGAATCCAGCTGGCTTTTTAATATACAGTGACTCATACAAAGCAACCTGCGGAGTCGGTCTCGTTTCCACCGTTACACCGCTGATTTCAGCAGAAGCCCCACAGAAAATCAAGCGGCGGGGGGGGCTTTCAGCCCAGGTCCCGACCAGGCCTTCCTCACCAGAACTGTGCTCTTCTTTCTGTAATTGCTCCTGCTGAAATGAGGGAGCTAATCACAGAGAGAGGTGCTTCACGCAAGCCAAATTGCCAGGATCTGGCCTTTCGAGGCACTGCAAGTCCTGTAAGATTTTCAAGGTTAGTAATAAACCATTAGTTTCTAATGAAAATTGGAGCTGAGGCCGAGGACTTCCTGCCTCAAAATGGTAATTTTTTATAATGAGATACTGTCATTATCTTGCCTGATATGCAATAGAGCATCACTGGTTTTAGCAGGAGCAGGCTGGGAGCTCTTTAGACCAAGACTGACATTATTTTATCTACTTCAGAACAAGCCAAAGAATTTTTAAGGGTGGTAAAGCAGGAAATCTCATTTCCATTTTCAGTAAAGGCTACATATAATATATCATTACCAAACATTGGGCCTGATCCTTGCACCTAACTCAGTGTGTGTTTTCTCCCCTCACAGACTGCACCATTGACGTGAGAATGTAAAAACCATAGAGCACACGGGCCCGCAGGGACAAGGAAAGATCCGTGCTCACCGGTGGTGATGGCAATTTCTATTGCAGTTCTGCAGTCTCTGTGCAGGCAAAGTTGCCCACTGACTTTTGGAAATACAAGACCAGGCACAGTACATGGTTGTCCCCCTAGCTGGCTCCCCGTCGGGGCTGCGTGGGGGTCATGGCGATGCACTCACTGCCCAGCGACTGGCAATGGGGGCTACAGGAATTTTTGTCTTCCACAAATCATTTCATGACCAAGGTAAAAGTGCCATCATCTGACAACAGGAGGAGTTTGTGGGTCCAGATACTGCAAATGTCACACCATTTTCTCAAATAAATGTATGCTCTTTCAATAAAAAACTCAGCAAGGAAAATATAGGCATCATGCTAGACACAATTCCTGGACTTCCTCCATCAGGAATTGCAGCTCTTCTTTTTCTAAAGTGAGATGTTGTTTGGGAAGACAAGAGATTATGTAGCCTGCTTTATGTTATTCTGCTCAGGTATCCCTGCAGATCAGGACTCGCTTTGAAAATGAAAGGCCGTATTTTACTGCAAGTGGGTTGACGTCAATTCCACTCTCAGGGCTAACCAAAAACCATCAAAATACTCTCTCTTCTTTTGCCTTAGTCTTTCCCAGAAATTATGAGTCAGCAAAAGCTTTCTGACTGTGGTATATAGAAAAAAACCCACATTTGTATTGTCCCAACAAAATGAATGGCTAAGATCACTGTAACCCAAATTTGCTTCCTAGAAGAGGGGAAGAATGCTCAGGGAAATACCTTGAAAGTGTTGCATTTTTAACAGGAGGGATCCAGCTTTATTTTGTAGATACAGTAAATCATTGGGGAAAGTGCTAGACTGAAAATGTCATCATATAGTAAAACCACGAAACAAAGCAAATAACATGTTGGGCTAAAAATGGAAAAGCAACTCACCTAAGTCCTTTTCCCTCCCGGATTAAGTGGTTTATTACTGAAGTAGGATTCTACCCATCTAAGTTTTTCTATATCTAATTTTTATACGGGTTGTCACTGCTTAATGAATTTATGGTGAAAATCCCTGATGCCCAGTTCCTGACAGAGTTAATGGAGGGAGGTGGCATCAGGGGTGGTCTCTAGCAGATTCGGTCTCCCTAAATTCAGGGTCTAAAAGTACACATAAAAAATTTCTCCTAGGGGCTTTTAGAGCCAATACTGGTCTTCAGAGCCTGCACAGGGCTCCCAGGAGCCTGCTCAGGTCTTACTCAGCACCTCACACCTGGGTGCAGGTTCAGTGCCGGGGTGTACTGAACTGTACTGTACCGGGGTGTACCTGCATCCCGGCGTGGAGCGCTGCTTGCAGGAAACACTCAGTAAGGGAACCGATGGCCAGAACCCTGCCCTGCGGTTTTACTGCGGTCCACACAGGAATGACAAAGATTTATGAGCCTAAAGCCTCGCAGATGGAAAGTTTTCCCATTTTACCAGAAAGTTTTGCCAGATTTCACCAGTCCGAGGCAGTCGGCGGTCTTTTCTCTCAGCAGTTACTACTGTGGGTGATGCAGCATCTTTGGCTGAATCTATGCAGGTTACAGAGCAGGGCCAGGACGCCCCACCCAGCGGTTTGGTCCCTGGCTTTGCAGGGGGAAAAGAGGTTAGGCACGCTCCGTGCCACCCGGCCGGAGGGCTAGAGGGCAGACCTTGCCCTCTTTTATTTACTAGGTTAGTCGCAGCATATGAGATGAGGGCTTAAAAGAGGGGGGAAAAAGAATCTTTCTCACTAGCAACTTCAGAGTTCTTAATCCGGGCAGCCTTTTGACCTATCTTGATCTGGTTTAAATCATGTTTGTAACATCACTGCAACAGTGCCCTGATGAACTGCGTGCCTGAAGGTATTCATCAATTACAATGACACATTTGTGATTATTAGAATTGATAAAAATAAAGGGGCTAGCAGAGTCTGGAATACGGTTTGTTTTTTTAAAATGAAATATCTTTGTATTATCAGTGAAATGATACTGGTTTTCCTAAGAATTGCACTCACATAAATACAGCGTTACTGATTCACAGCCTCGCTGAGGCTTGTTGGATCCTTGTGGCCCCAGCTTCTCCAGCAGGCAAACGCTTGATGCGTTGCCCAGTCATAAGCTGGGAAACACATTAGTCCAAACTTTTTATATGCACATAAAAGTAATCTGTTTCAGCCCTTAAATACAAATTGAAATGATAGTGATAAACTGTAACGTAACCAGGATGTAAATGTAGCAGAACTATAAATAAACAAGCAGCAACACTGCTTCTGAAATCCGCCGCGCGTGTTACTGCTCTAAATCAATCAATCGCCGGTGAATTTGAACCTGGGTGAAGAAGTGTTTCCGAACTCTGAACAACATCGACCTCTGATGGGCTCTTTGAAGCCACTAAGCCGTGGGATTATCAGAAAACTCTATACTGCTCTGAGACAGGCAGACAGCAAAGATGCACTTAAATGATTTTTCTAAAGCACGCAGTCCAAAAAGAAGAGGGGGATGAAACAATTCAGGTTCCCCTCAGAACTGCGGATGATAAGGCAAGTCAATTATTGTGGCATTTTACAGGCTTTTAGGAAAGAAGACTGAGACTTTTTTTCTTTTTTCCTTTTTTCCCCTCCAGTGTTAGACTAAAAGAGGAAAAAAAGAGCCCAGCTTAGAGTCCGGTTTTCCCCCCCCAGTTTGATAACTTGTTAATGGAGCATTATCATAAAGGGCTAACTTTTAACGTGAAGATGAAAGCTACTGGAAACCTGGCAAATGACTGTAATTAGCAGCCTATTTGACTGGGCTTTTTGTTTCTTTGGTTGCTGGAGAATAAAAAGGAGTTTGTGCTCTTCATTACTCTCTCTTCGTCAGACTAAAGAGAACAAACAAGCAAGCAAGCAGGAAGGTGCCTTTCTTGGCGCGGTATTTCATCTCCATAGTGAATGATGATCTCTTTAGGCAGAATTACATGGGGAGCTTTCAAAAGTAAACAAAGGGACTTCGCTCAACTGGCAAATTTGCCAGCTCTCTTATTTCTAAAAGCATCTAAACACACAAAGTTATACTACATCTTACATGTTTTTATTTGTATACAAAATGTTATAATTTATCAATATTGTGCAGCAAAGTATAGATACACACATACATACATACACCCCCCCCCCAACACACACACACACGTACAAATACAAACACAACTTTCTTTCTCTCTGCCCTTCAGAAAGGCAACACTGTTTTGGCAGGTCAGCAGCTAGAAATAAGGTGCTATGATTAAGCGGTATCGGAATGTCTTCACTTTACAAATGTGATGTGCAAATTTATATACAACCACTTTTTTTTTTCCGCAGAACCCAAAACTCCATACCCCGAACCACTCTCAGAGATACGAACATGTATAAAGTGCTAATACTTAAGCATGTTTCCAACGACTTCACGACGTAGTTTGAAGTTTAGAACAGGCACCGTACTAGTTCACTGGGTAGATTGTCACTCGGTGTGGTACGACAGAGAGGAAAGTCACTCAGACATCGCTGGGGGACCGGGAGCGAAAGGACACTTTAGCCTGAAAGCAGCCGCAGAAGAGCACCCACATGGACCTCTGGATTTCCTGGTTTCTGTAGGCGTAAATGATGGGGTTGATCATGGAGTTGTAGGTAGCGGGTAGAAGCGTGGCGTACGTGTACACGGAAGGGTAGTCGGGATCCCCCACTACACAGTAGATGGCAAAAGGCAGCCAGCTGGCCCCGAAAGTCCCGAGGATTATAGCAAGGGTAGAGACTCCTTTTTTGGTGGCGACATAGTGAGAAGCAGTCAGAAAGTGCTGCTGGAGAGCTATCTGGTGGGCATGCCTGCAAACGATCTTGCAGATCTCGATGTAGAGATGGAGCATGATGAGGAAAATGAGAAAGAAAGAGGCGGACAGCAGCGTCACGTTGCTTTTGGTCAAGGGTCTGACGACGCTGCAGGCGGCGCGGTCGTGGAGGCAGTTCCAGCCCAGGACGGGCAGCAGCCCCAGGCAGAGGGAGACCCCCCAGGCCCCCGCCAGCATGGTGTGGATGCAGAGCACCGTCCTCTCCGAGTAATAGGTGAGGGCGTTGTAGAGAGAGAGGTAGCGATCGACCGTGATGGCCAGCAAGCTACTCACAGAGGCGGCGAAGGAGGCGACGAGGAAGCCCACCGTCAGCAGGCTGACCGTCTCGGAGCGGATCACGTACTGGAAAACGAAGTTGAGGATGAGGCCGAGGCCGGCCAGGAGGTCGGCCGTGGCCAGGCTGCCCACCAGCACGAACATGGGGGTGCGCAGGGCGGGCGAGTAGCAGATGATGGCCACCACCAGGGCGTTCTCGCAGGCGATGGCAGTGCCGGAGACGCAGAGCATCACGTCCCAGGGGTTGAGGGCGGCGGGCGCGGGGGGCCGCG